GGATTTAAGATATTTTGCTTTAAAATTATCAGCAATGTAATTGAGTTTTATGTTTCAGCATGAATACTCGAATTTGGACGAAACAAAATAAATATTAAACCGGCTGATTGTCAAAGCGCGCAAAAAGATGGGAGTTGGCCATCTTTTCGCTTCGCGCTGCAGCTTCAATGATCTATGTGGCATGCTTTGTGCATTTTCACCATGAACCAAAAATACAAGATCACGTAAGAACGCGACGTTGTATTTGTAACTGGTTTTGAGAAAAAAGTTTGCGAAAGCGGGTTCGTCAGCTGAGCGTTTGTTTTCATCACAAGCACCACTATTTTACACTTGTATTCAAGTAAAGAAGAGTTAATTCAACATGACAACACATTTTAAAGTGGCTGACAATAATTTTGGCTAATTTTGGTTTTCGTTGTTTTCTTTCTGTGGGGATTTCGCCTCATGATTAGAAAAAGGTCTTTTCGAGGATAAAATATATATAATTGCGTTATTTAGGAACAAAATGTAGGTTAAGTATAGTACCAATGTTTAATTAAGAATATTTATATTAAAAAACGTGAATTTTGTGAATTTATCATGGAAAACTCAAAATTTCCGAATATATTGAAGTATTTATTCCAGAACAAAAAAGGTTTGCTCAGTTATAGAGAAGTGTAATTTTTTACTTATATACGGCAGACACCACCTTGTTAAATACGCCTTGCCTTTTGCCCGCGCCGCCTTATATTTTTGTGACCGGCTCTTAGACTGCTTTTACACAGTTCAAGTATTGAATTCAATTCCGCTCGCATGTGGAAGAGAGGGGGTGAGAAGAAAAGGGACGAGTACACATGCGTCTGTACGGTCAAGTCGTTTCAACTTTCTTGCTTTGCTTTTAGCATTTTCGTTGCTTCCCATTTAAAGAACCAAAAACTTGAATTCAACAGAATTGAAACGTGTAAAAGCAAATAGAAAACACAAAGGAGAATGAGCAAGAATTGCTTTCAAGTACTTGAATCATGTAAATCGGGTGTTAGCCAGCTGACAAATTAATGACTTATTTTTGAGACTAGAGACGTGAGACACCGTACTGAATACCAAATAGTCTCAAAATCCAAATTCACCGCCAAAAGTCACTATTAGTGACTAGAGACCGCTTACTGAATGCCAGGGTTATGATCACAGGGTTGCTTTTAGCATTTAGATTCTTAATGCAAAAATGTAGTTGCATTTAGTTGCATTTAGGTGACGAATTTTGTATGGATAAATGTACATTTAGAGTAGCATTTAGAGCTAAATGCGCTAAATGTGCTTTTACGCGTAAGCAAAAACAGGCT